AAATAGATTTAATTTTTGATTTGTTCATTTTCTAGCAGTTGTTTCTGTATAGTATTATTGGTCTTGCAAAGGTTTCATATAATTGTAATTTCTTTCCCTACTAAAATATTTCCAATGTTCATTCAATGCTAGAATTCTATTTTTTTCCCCTTTCCTTTAGTAATGACTTCCACCTATATATATTTTACAGATATAAGATGCTCAACAATACCTAGTTCGTTTCTTTTTTGTAAAATACTAAGCCAAAACATTCAAGATTATTACATATTATTAAAAACATGATGGAATAAAGAATCATCCTCTCTTAATCCGCTCTTTGCAAAGAAAGACTCTTGTATGTCATTTTCACAACTTGCTGTATAAGGTGGATCTGGCCTGTAGTTGATCTCCTTTAATGGAAACAACAAACACAACAAAATAATATTACGATTATTTTTAGAATAACATCAAATTATATACAATAAATATGTAATATTGGTGCAGTGAGGATTTTTATGAGTGGTCTTGCGATAACTTGTGGTGTATAACTTGCGATATATATCCAATATTGATGACCCATACCTGGAAGACCAGGGTGTTCCTCTTTGTCTGGTGTCTCCCCTCTGACCTGTCCGGCTTGGGTGACCCTGCCAGTAACTAAGTTACAGCCGGCATAGCTCTCGGGATCTACAACACACACAAACCACAGCACCACGATAAGGTGGGAACGCATAGCAGTGGATACACAGACGAAAACATCTGAAATTCGACCCGATTGCTAGCAGTTATTGCATCCAAAATAATGCAATTCACTCTAAGATAAATTGAAATAAGTTGAAAAAAATACTTATAATTAATATAAAAGTGAAGACAGCTGAAATTTGGTATCACGAGATTCGACGGCTAACTCATAACAACGGAAGTGCACGAACAACATGCATATAAATAAAAGCAGTTAAAATTTGATATACGGGGCAAAACATTCAAAATAATGTAATTCAATTCAGAAAGATGGAATAAATACAACATTTAAAATTTTGCAAAAGTTTTAAAGCATTTTCCATAATGGAACACCTAAGAAAACAAATAAAATCTAAAAACAAATAAAATTTTGATCTGAATTTGAACAAATGTGTTCAATTTGAACAAGGGTTGAAAAAACAATTAACAGTTGGTTTAAAATTGATACTTTCAACTTACTGATAAATTCTGCAAAATACAAAATTAATATATATACAAAAGTTGAAGTCTTACAAAAATTTGACATAGATGTTAATGCATTCTTAATAATAACATTTATATAAACAAAAATAATCTGGATGTACAAAAAAATGAAGTCTGCACTTATTCCTTTGTAACTCTTGAGTTTTCAGCTTCCCAATGTGGCAAAGGCGATAAATAAAATTAAGATATATACAAAGTCGAAGCTTTTCCAAATGTGACACCACGGGTGCTAATGAATTCCTGATGATATAGCTCTAAAAAATTGAACAAGGGGGAAAAAGCAATTAACAGTTGGTTTAACAGGGATGCTTGCCACTTACTGATAAATTCTACAAAATTAATATATATATACAAAATTTGAAGTCTTACAAAAATTTGATATAGATGCATTCTTAATAATAGCATTTAATATAAACAAAAATAATCTAGATATACAAAAATCATGAAGTCTGGAATAAATAAAATTAAGATGTATACAAAGTCGAAGCTTTTCCAAATTTGACATCACGGGTGCTAATGAATTCCTGATGATATAGCTCTAAAAAATTAAACAAGGGGTGAAAAAGTTGGTTTAACGTGCTTGCCACTTACCGATAAATTCTACAAAATTAATATATATACATAAGTTGAAGTCTTACAAAAATTTGACATAGATGTCAATGCATTCTTAATAATAACATTTAATATAAACAAAAATAATCTTGATATGCAAAAATAAATACAATTAAGATATAAACAAAGGTGAAGCTTTTCCAAATTTGACACAGGCACTAATAAATTCCTTACTGCCCTTTAAATATAATAGATTTGGTGTTCACGCTTCTGCACTTATTCCTTTGTAACTCTTGAGTTTTCAGCTTCCCAATCTGGCAAAGGCAAATTTTAATATAATCAAAAATAACAGACTTTATCAGCAAAATCTTGTGGTTATTCAATGGATCTTGATCATAAGAGTGTTCATTCAAATCATTGAAAACCCTATTCATTGTATTTGAGCTGATGAAACGTAAGCTTCCAGTAATAAGTTTTTGCACAACATGCGTGACATGTAATCTCCCAGAAGCTTGCATCATCCTGATATTTTTTCCTGCCACTTTAAAAATTTTTACAACATCTGGGGATGGAAAAACTAACCCACCCTTATTCTTTCGTTGTGTCAATTTATAATTGCTGAATGGAAGGGAAGAAGGGATATTATATGAATGAGGCAAGAGTGGTAATATTTCATCTTTCAGTGTCAAAGCTGAAGTACAATTAGTACATTTGACATTTTTTAGCAGCTTACGGCTAACAAACCCAGCAATATGCGACGTAACATCACAAAGATATTCATTTAAATGAAATTCAGGAACTTCTTCATCTATGTCAGAATTTTCCTCATCATTAATGTCTTTACTGTAAATATTTACAGCAGATGACACATTTAAAATGGAACTGCTGTCTAAAGGCATACAGTTCTCTTTGCCACTACTTATGACCTCTGTGTGACATAATAGTCTTACATAGGCAGCTGTAAATTGTTTGCAAGTTGGGTTATTATTAAACCCACCCTTGCTTCTGATGACAGAGAAGAACATTTCTAGGTGGTCTTGCGACAACTTGCATGTCATTAAAAAAGACATTTCAGCTCCAGGACCCTTAATTAAATAATTATATAGTGATGACACACTATATAAACAAATCAAAAAAACCAAGAAACCGGTTCTGCGATTGCTCTCAAGAATCAGCGGTTCACACGGAGCAGTTCTCTGCTCTTCAATATATAGTTCTGCTTCCTCCATGAAGGCCGAGATTTCTTTTTCATTTTTAAGAGTCAAAGGACTCTTGAAACCTTTACTTGCTAAACTGCGAGAATTTAACGTATCAAAGAGGTTATTAAAAATCCTCACAAATTTTACAGTGGCTCCGACCCCTTGAAAGTCAGGATGTCTAAGGTCTTTTTCAAGGTACTCCAGAGCATCAGCAACACTGTTACTTAACGTCTGAGAAGCAAGACGTACCTTCATCTTTTCTCTGTATCATTCAATATGCGCCTTTTTCAATTTTGTGGCAGCAAGCAGACCTTCTTCATTTTGCAATCTCTCTAACCTCTGAATAAATTTCCAGGAAATGAAACTATCCCTGGGATAGTAAATTGATTCTTTGGAAGCTAAAGTATTACGAATCAATTTCAACAAGTGGCTAGGGTCCAGTAAAACAAATATATTTTTGCCTGTAACAGGATGTGGAAAAAATGGTTTTAGGTTGGCCAAGTCAAAATCGACACCAAGTTTCTTGGCTGTTGCCAAATTAACACTAGCACCGTCAAATGTCAAGCTGACAATTTCAATTTCAACATCAGAAACAAATTCAATGCCCTTTTTAATGAGATTTGCCCTTTCACATCCGTCAAGGCCGTCAATAAAAAAATACCCAATCGGTATTTTCCAGTTTCCATTAAGGCAGTTGAGCATGAAAACCTTCCGGGCTTCCTTCCTTCCTTCCTTCCTTCTTCCTTCTTTAGCTTCCGGGAGCTGATCTTCGTCATTGATGTTCGTTCCAAAATATACATAGCCACTAAATTGTTTGCCATCCCATTCAACATGGCTCCTTATAGCCATCTCATCAGTGATCATGCCACACAGATAATTGGCTTCTTTGCAGATTTTGCGTCTGCCACTTTCATTTTTAAGGCATTTATAGCTGGCACAGAAAAACCTGGTGAGCCATCAATGGCCTGGTACCATTTTTTAATGGTAGAGGGGTGCGGCAGACACGCATTGAAGACATTTCTAACATATTTGTACGCCTTTGTGGAATAAAAATGGAGGGTCAAGGCAAAACTTCTTAATTCAGGGCTATATTTCTAAGTTGATGTTTGCTGCTTTTAAGCACGCCTCAACAATTCAGTTGCAGGTCCTGGCAACGACAGCTAAAAACGAAAAAAAATTTATCAACAGAAGTAATTTGCCTTACAATCGAAAATACTTTTAAGAGTAGTTAATCGAAAATACCTTTAAGTTACAATAAAATAATAGTTCGATTTAAACCATTTCTTGCCTTCCTTTTCTCAAACTAATACTTCAATTTTTGTATTAAGATTTAAGAATGTAAACAATTAAAAATTATTCAATCATTAATAATTTTTCAACATAAGTTTAAATGTTTTCAGAATTATTTTTAAAGCCAAAATCACCACCAAGTATTTTGGCTGTTGCCAAATTAACACAAATACCATCAACTGTCAACTTATTGCCAATCATATCAGAACCAATTGTTTTTTTTAACCTATTTTTTTCACTTAAACTGAATTTTTTTTTGTTTCTTAAAAACAAAGTATTAAATAATACTTTATCCATTAAAATAAATGAACTAACCATGGAACTGTAAAGTTTTATAATTAAAACGATAGCTCTCATACTTACTTTAATTATAAACTATGATTGCGCTTTCTTAAAATAAAAATTTTATTAATTTTTCGTCTACGAAATCTTGTTGCAATAATGTTGAGGAAAATATTGATTTTTTAAACATTTTGTTTTGAAGGTAGACAGATACCTTAGGAGAACATCATTTTTGGCTTGTTATAAACAAAATAACAAAAGCATGAATCAATTGGAAATAAATCAAGGTGAATCAGTGAATGAATTATGTATTAAAACTAATTATGTCATAATTTCTAGTGATTCACATAATTTGTCAACAATGCCTAAGGATCCATATTATCAACTTATATTAACATTTAATAAGACAAACATTAATTAAAAATAACACCTCCACATCAAACTTATACCTTATAGTTAATCTAAAATAAGTAGTTAGCATGTTGTTAATGTTATGTTGTTAAGCTCTAAAATATCACCAGCAGATTGTGAAATCAAAGCCTTTTTCTTCACCTCTGTCAATATTTCTTGAAGAGAAGCAACTTTTTTCTTCAATCTCTTAGATTTCTCTGTCATAGACTTCAATTTTTTCCGATGGATTTCCGACTGATTCTTAGCCATATTCAAAACTTGGCAAGCTTTACTTGGAGAAGTCATGTCTTCATCATTAAAATCTCCAATGTAATGTTTACGTTTCTTACCTAGAAAGGAAAGGAAAGATAAAGCAACTATCAAATTAAACCTTACAGAAAAATTTTATTCAGAAATTTTTGTTTAATGTTTTTCTGAAACCATATTTTACTGCATGTGACAATTTTAATAACATTCGATTTTGATAAAATTTAACAAGAAAAATACTAAATTATGTACCCAGAAAAATTCTAAAATAGATAGTAATTATTAGATATTATAATATAACTCATTTCAATTAAAAAATTACTTTTTAAATAATATACATGCATACAAAGCGCAAACTTACTTGATTCAGGATTCGACAAAACAATATCAGCAGATCTTTTAATTGCAGTTTTCCTGTTGTTTGCTTTCGGTTGCAAGTGGCTAGGAAAATCAAATATAGTTGGCACTGCACTTTTCTTTAGCCATGTGCCACCAAATCTCTCTGTATCAAAGTAGTCTAGTGTAAAATGCTTAGAACATATTCTTGTGCTATCCGATACTGGGAAATTCTCTCGTCTTAGTTTGGAAGACCATAGCTGTCTTCTAATCTCATCTTTAGGAAAGCTAAGCAAAAAGATAATATTTTTAAATACTTTTAAAAGCATTTTCTTAGACTTAAGCAAAACAAAAAATATATATACTTTTACTAGTGTATTAAA